TCTACACTTAAGATAAAGAAGAAAATCAGCATGATTGAAAGGTAAGTTTCTTCTTGGCTTTCACCCTGGTAATTAATACAGCTACATACATCTGAGTAAAAAACATGGTGGTTAAACACCTTTTTCTGAATCTCAAAAGACTGACATCTATTCCTTGCCCATACTTTTTCAATCCCAGTGGACAGGAACGTTGCCTTTTTCATAGAGGTGTCAGATCATAGCCCCTGGCAAATCAACATGCATCACTAGCCACATGATTCAGACACGAAAGAGAATTTTAGCATCCTGAAACTCCACTCTTACAGCACTGAATGAGGCAACCTGTTGTGCCAGTGTGTGATTAAGGAGACCAATACTTTCACATTCATTTTCAAAAATGGTAAAGAAGGGAGGGTAGACCATTACTTCTCCCATTTTTTACCTTTTATATAGAAAAATAGGCACACTGGCCTTGCATTGCTCATTTTACTAGAAAATCTGCTGAACAACACAATGCATATGCATACAGGTAAACATAAACACACACGCATGCACAATACTGAACTTTGTGTTGGCAGCCAGACTGCAGTAACCCATGTCCCCTGGGCAGCAATCAGCTATGAAGGAAGAGGAAAAAGTTAGTGTAATGATTAACTAGCCTGGTGGGCTACTACTCATGACAAGTAGAGCAGCAGCAGTGCAGGCAGTGATGCTGGTCACCTCTCCCTCTGGAATGCTGCTGGATGCCTGGAATCAAACTCAGCACAGAAAAACCAGAAAATGTAATGTCAATGTAAGAAAGAAGCTGAATTTCCCCTCTTGGAGTTTGCACGTAAGGAAGACACGTGGAGGAGCAGAGCTTGATGCTGTTGAGCTTGATGTTGAAAGAATATGACAGATTCCAATATCACCATTTATCAAATATGTATGCATAGGTTTGGGTAAGATTACTAGGGTTACTGCTATCAGTTATAGGCAGTTATTCCCTATAAATAAGCAAGCAAACAACTCTAATGGCAAGTGGCAAGTATCGATGTTGATAGCTGTAGCCATGGTGTCAGTACTGGAGCAGATGGTTAAAGTACATCCATTTTAGGTGAAAGACCAAACAATGAGTATCCCTATAGCCAATCAGGGAAAAACCAAAGTCATCATGGATGTTCCCTCTCCTTTGGTGCTTTTGCCCTGCAGTCCTCTGCAAGCTCCAGAAATTCTTTCAAAACTCTTTCCAATCTTTCAGATTTGTTTAAAGCAGTGCATTAAAGGTGAACGTACAGCAGCTCCCACTGTATTTCTCTTGGTTCTACCTCAGTCAGCATTTCACAGAGAGGCAATACACTATTGCCTGGACTTCAGCCTGAAAAACCAAATTCCATCTGATTTTTTTCTAGCTTTCAATGATTTATCTTCATCTGCCATGGCAGAAATGACAATCAAAGACAGTTTTGGTTTTTGTTTTCCAACAAAAGCATTTGCTGCATATTTAAGAAGACCTTGAAAGAAACTATTTAGCAAAAAAAAGCAAATGCGTTCTTTCAGTAAACTCATTTGCCCTCTGGAAGGCTTTACTCTGTGTGTGGATTATTCATTTACTTTAATTATTTTGAAGTGCCTCTGTTTGAGTGGGTTGGAGTTAAGTATCCACAACACCAAAGCAGGTCCTAGAATTAGTTGTTGTAAACAAAATGTGGTGCAGTGGCCTAATCTGTACAAGTAGTAAGCCTTGAGTATTCTGGAAGTCCTTTTCCACAAAGAGTACTTCTGGAGACCCTGAAAGCTATGGGACCCATGTCCATGAGCATTTATTATGGGACTTTCATTGTATGGACAGGTCATATCTTTCTAATCTTGAACACGTATAAATCCTTGTTCTCATTTCGTAGGAAAACAAAAATCCTGCTCTTATTTAAATATGGAAAACAAAATCCCACCTGGAAAAGGCTGGTACCAACTAAAGCAACCAACCAGAAATTTTAATCCATCATACAGGAGGATTTGCTAGGACACAATAACCAAGTGATATAAGAGAATGAAGAGAGCTAGAACATGTAAAACTGGGCATGTAATCAAACCAAAATAACAGTCTTTTATAATCTCTCTAATCACAGCTCGTTCGCTCTCACGCACACATATACCCATGCACACATACAGGAGTACTTATATTGTTACCCTTCGTTTAGTATTTTCAGCCCAGATATCCTGGTTACTAAGTACACACCCTACAAACAAGAAGAAGAAAACAAGCCCAAAAGCTAGGAAAACTTCAGATGATGGAAGAGTTTGGACATAGTTATGTCCATACATTCAAGAAAGAAGAGGAGGAACCAAATCTGGGGAAAATACACAGGATTATCACTTTATAGGCAGTGAACACTGCCTAGAACAATGATTGCAAAAATAAATACATCTAACATTCAAATCCCAAGCTGTATTTTCAGCGACACCCTTTCTCCTATGACTGTATGCACACTCAGAAACAAAACCCCAGAGCTAAACATCCACAGCCTTGAGGCATTTCAGTTCTCAATCTCAAGAGAAAGCTATCGTGCAAACTTTCCGCTATATCCACAGTCTTCTACCACATCCCGATTTAAGGACACAAATGCAATAAAAGTAAAACCAAAGAAAGATAAAGCAGTTGAAATGAAGAGTTTGCACTACCCATTCCTTCACAGATATGGAAGACAGGATGTAGGCATCTGGAAAACCAGAAGACATCTTCCCTGGTAAATCTCAGTTTGTAAGTCTCTCCACTTTAAATCTGCATTCCTCTGCTTTGCACGTAGTCCCATATAAATTTATGGCTCCTCTGCACTGTTGCCCATAGTTACACCCAGTATTTACAGGTAAGCGTGCAACCCTGTTCCTTTATGGAGGTAAACAAGAAAAGAAGGAAAATAGCGTGAAGGAAAGGAGGAAAACAATTCTCCACTTACTCGTCTGTAGTCAGTGGCTGTACCTCAGGAACAGTTGCTTTAAAATACAAGTTACTGATGAGTTTTGATTTAAAAATCTCTGTCAGTTTTGACATTCAGGTGAAAGTATTGCTGCTGGCTCTAGAGCAATTTGCATATCTTATCACTAAATAAAATGTCTGAAGTGTGCACCAATCTGATGAAATTATAAACAAGAGTCCACACAAGCACACATGCCTTCCTGTTTGATTTCTGTCCTGATCGCTCCTGTATAATAAATTATATGATCATCTGATTCTAGCTGGAGGTTTAACTGTGCATGTAAAAAGGAAAATGATAGCAGCCTATTCTTTTTCACACTTTACATTTTAGAACCTGACAAAATTGTGGATTTGGGGAACAAACAGGAAAGCATTTTTGGTTATCATCTACCTCCTCTTTAATTGCCACAAAATTGGTGAAAAACCTCATGTATTTATATATATATATATATATTTTTAAACAGTTTCCTATACTGGAAATAAATAAATAAAGGAAACCACTTATTTTCCTACAAAGACTAACATACATGCTTAACTTTATGTCCTGTGATTAATCTCATCTACTTCAACAGGATTACTCATAATGCTGTAAATGAAATACATGTGTAAATCCTCGCAGAATCACGGCCTGAATTGCCAAAAACATTACATGGCACAAGCAAACACCTAGGTCTAGAATGGCTCTTCAGAATGATTAGAAATAAAACCCAAACCTTTAGGCATAATAAGCAACAAAATCTACTCCAGGGAGTGGTTATGGGAGAAACAGTATTGAGGGAGTCATCTTGCCTTGGGAAATTCACCTGTCACCAAATCCTTGCAGTAATTTACCTTCTTCCTCCACCAGTTATCACCTTCACTTACCACTGCTTTCTCACTCATCAAATACTGTCCACACATCCTGCTGCTGCTATGTCACAAAGGAGACAAGAGATGCATCTGATTCCACTTATTCTTTTGTGCAGTGAAGGAGAGTGAGAACATGGTCTTGTCCTTATATTAACTAGCATAGTAATAAAGAGCTCATGTGCTAATTAACAGAGCTGGCTGACAACTAAACCATTTTACCAACCTTGCTTCTTAACCTGTTGCTGAACTGCTCACATGCTAGTGTCTCACTGAAAATTATTTGCCCAGTAAACTCTGTGGGCAATCCTTAACCTATTTCTTGAGTTCCTTACAAGAAGATGCTGATCAAAACATATACAAATTGCATACCTAAATTACTTAGCTCTGTCTCCTGATGAGTAGCTTACCATCTGTTTGTTGTTTTTTTTTTTTCTGCAAATATTCATGAATGCTGTATCAGAAGTTACTCTCTGTACATTATCTAGTTTTTGACTAAAATCCATGGCTTCCAAAAACCCTTCCGCTTGTAAATTAACTCAGTCAGAAATATTAACTAAAATGACAGGAAAACAAAAGCCAATCCCTTAAAAGTTCAAATGACTATTTGTCACAAACATTTCACCTCTACTAATGAACTGCAAAAATGAATGATAGAAAATGCAAAACTGTATTATGTTTAGCAGTTAACATTTTAATAAGGAGGAGATTAGCAATTTTTAATACCTCCAGTGCTTTGTTATATACAGTAGCACAATAACTGAATATTTTAATTGCTAATTATTTAGACCTCATTCAGTTCTCACTCAGGCAAAACTCCCATTGAGGGACTTTTCCCTGAGAAAAGAGCTACAGGATTTGTCTTACTGTAATTTGAAAAAACTTTATATATCATAAAAACTATCAAGTTATAGTGAGACAAAAATCATTAAATCCTTAGCAATATTAAACCCTACTGAAAGTCCCACCGACTCTTAACACCAATGTTTTGATATTAAGTAAAATAGATAACTGCAGTTTACCAGTTGAAACTTACCTGTATAATTTATGCCCAGATAGGCTGGTGTTCTTAAAGAGGTCTAATAATGTTTTGAGTCTTCTTACCATATCCCTGACCTTCTCCCAGGGGAATCAGTTCAAATGTGATAAAGAAACAGCATTTCCAAACAATTATGATATCAACACCTTCCCAAACCCAAAAGCCAGCATTTGGTTTTACCTTTTGTCTTCGGACTCCAAAAGGGTTAAGAGCAGCTCTCAACACTTCTTTCTTATGCTGCTGTGAAGAAAAGAAATGCTTATGTTTAGGGATTTGCACACACAACACCTTGAGTTTTCATAACAGTCAAATAGCTAAGCATTCAGTGGAGAAAGTGGGTGGAATGCTGTATCTATCTATCTATCTATCTATCTATCTATCTATCTATCTATCTATATATATATCAACATATAGCTATCTGAAGGAAGACAAAACAAAGTCCTACACATTCACATTTTGTACACAGGTGATGAACAAATAAGCTAAATGTACTAGTATCTGAAATGTCATGTTAGATGCATCCTTCAGAGGGAAATGTTACACAGCTGAACACTAAATTAACAGGGAGTGATTTCTAAGCCTCCATGCTTTAAAAAAAAAAAAAAAACCACACTTGTTTTTTCCACTAAGTGTAGTTTCATTCCTGTTAGATATAAAAACAAATGGGTGTCACAACCAAAGTTTTGCCACTTATGCCATTCAAATGCATTTGTGGAAAAAGTTACAAGTAAGTGCTCCAACAGGTCAAGAGTTTGAAGAGGTTCTTTTATCTTTTCTTGAATGAAAAACTGCGTATAAAGTCTTCACATCTTTCAACTATAAATGGCTTTAACGACTAAAATGTTCAGAAAACATCTCTGTAGACTGCATTTGGAAAAAAAGAACTGAAAGCAGACTTAGTACCATATACCACTAATTACCAAAATGTTCAGAATTGGCTGCCAAACAGCTGAGGAAAGAGTAAGTATTTTGAAGTCTGAAAATAAGACTTGAGCACTCTACTTCCACCAATTCAGAATACGGTTTAGCCATCTGACTGGAATAATTTCCAATTCCCATTATAAGAGGTTCACTTAGATTACGTTGCCCAAATCCACTCCAGCCTGGCTTCTTGCTTCTTCACAGGAGAGCAGGATCCCTTCATTCCCCTCAAGTGCTGACTTCACCAAGAACCTATGCCCAAAGCTTATACCAGCTTGAGTATGGCAGGACTGGGCTAACTAAGCTTTCTGGTCTTCTTTAATCCTTCACTGGTGAGGCGTTTTCAAAGCTAGCAACAAAGACACTTTAATCACCGAGATCACAGGTAAGAACAGATTACTTAACAGAAAAGAAGTGCTCTTTGGAGAGCTCTTGTTTAGAAAGGACACAGTGTTGCTTTCTCAAATAAAGATGTAACACTAGCAGACTTTCAGGCTTGGCGTTTCCAAGCCTGACTTCCCACCAGATCCTGGCTACTACAGGGAGGGTTATCTTACTTTCTCAGAGACACGTCACAATGTCTTTTCAGACCTGCAGCCTTCCTCTCATTTTCTGGGTGCTTTCTACCTCTGATCATCACAATCAAAGGATGCCCCAGATTCAGCATTTGTGGACATTTCCCTATGGCAACCCCCAGAGCCTACGTAGGTCAGTCCTGAGCATATGCAGCGTAGTCTGTTGGTTTCCACTGTTTTCAGGGAAGGTGGTTTATTTTGCTTGAACTAAGGCTCTGTAGCATGCACTCCAGCTTTCATAAGGCCTGCGGTTGCCTGAATAGACAAGCTGGACAGCAGCTGTTAGCACTTTCCAATATTACACAACCATAGTCTGGAACAGTCTGTCAGTTCTGTGCAGACAAAGAATAAGGTAAAACAGAAGGCCTAAAATATTGAGTAATGAGGGTGGGATTTTGACCTTTAAATGCTGTTAGATGTATTGCATGAGGATATGTTTGATTTAAGTGATACTATTAGGTAGGAAACTGTGCTGTTTGTCTAATGTCTAACTCATCTAACAACTGAACCACTCTGTACTTGCTGGCACGTTATGTCAGAGAGAGATGGCTCTGCTGAGTGAGCCCAGTAAGAGAGGGTGGCACTGGGGAACCTGGAAGAGGTGAAAAGCAAGAAAAAGCATGGGGAAAACTCATCACAAGGTGAAAGAAAATATTTTCTATTTTAAACCCACTGATCACTCAGACCTGTGGCAGTGCTTACACATTATCTCCTCAAGCTCTGAAAAGGATTAAATCTACGTCAAAAATCTCAGTTTCTCTTCTCCAGCCTACTGGCATTTGAAATTTTGGACAACTACCCATGATGCTCACAGCTTCTGTCAGTTGTGATTCTTGCCAGAAAGTGCTATACATGAGTCCGTATAACTGTTACAGTTACTCTTTTTTATTTTCATAATCATTAATCAATCCTTTTTAAACATTTGAATGTCTGAATTTCAATAGTGACAACATTTCTACCACATAGTTTTTAAAACTATTTTCATGTATGATTGAAATTAATCAAGACTTAGACTTGAGATGGTCATTTGTTGAGCCAAGACAGCTACTAGAGCTACCATATCCAAAATTACAAGGCCATTCATTTTGGTTTCAATTCCAACCTCCACGTTTAGATTTAATGGTTTCACTTGGATCAACAGCTTGTTGGTGATTCAAATTATATCGTATCAAGTAATACCCTCTAAATCTGATGCATCCATGTGACATCAATGAAGTGAAAAATGATGTACACAACTCAGGAAACCATTTTTGGTCCACTTAGTAAACCCCATATACTAAGCAAAGGTCAGTACTTTCCAGCATAGGCTCACGACAGGCTTAATGACCTCAAAGTCACAAAATATATAAAAAAACCCTCAGAGAGGCTTGAGGTAGATCATGGTAATTTCCTAGAAAAATGTGCTTTCAAGGGGGAAGTAAATGAGGTACATTTATTAACTCTGCTTTTTAAAGTATCTAACCAGAATGATATCTACCACAAAAATAAGAAATCTAGAAATGGATAACTTAGTCGTAAATTAAAAACGCCTCTTCTGCTATGCCAGTTGCTTGTACAGCAACAACAGCATACTGTACTGCTATTCAAAAGCAAATAAGAAAGAACTATACATACTTGTTCGTTTCCTTATGTTAATGCCTTATAAGCTACATGGCATTTTGACATTTGCTGCTAATGAAAAAGCACTATTCAGTGAACTATCATTAGATTAAGTGAAACCGAAATAAATACATTCCATTCAAGAATATGTAAAGAATGTGTCAATTTTATTTATGTTTTCTCTCAAGGTTATGGAACTTTCACAGTGGGAGGGAGAAGATATTACAGGATGATAACTGTGAGGATCCTCTCTTTTTAAGACTCTATATTTAAACAACAAAATTCAAAGAGTAGGATTATTAATTATATTAGCATCACTCCAGTTCAGTTCCTTCCAAACACAGTCATCATACAGACAAACTAAACTCGGCTAGCAAGTGGATGAAAGGAATCACTGTTGATTAATGCTAAGAATATAAGAGCCAAAAGGATTTCAGACAATGATCCACTGTGAGACTACCAGTAAATCTCTTGGTCTCTTTTGAGATTCAGTCAACCTGGCACAAACAGTGGGTAAAGTATATCCTTAGCAAAATGGACAATGCATCACTGCAATTCTCTTTTTTTTTTTTTTTTTTTTTTTAAAAAAAAAAAAAAAAAAATTGTGTGTGAATTTAATGCTTATGGAAAAGTCTAATCTGGCAGGCTTAGAGCCTGAAATCCTCTCATTTCCAGCACAGTACTTCTAGCAGCAGAACAGATTGATTCACACAGGCTCACCATTACCCCTCAGCCTTGAACTGAGGGACCATGATGACCAGTCAGGTTCTGCGGCTGGTTCATCCTCTTTCATTGGACTTTCAACCACAGACCAATTACTATTGTCTGTAGTAATGTTTTTTGTGATATGGACTTTGGTCTGGTGAAAACTAGAGTTGAGAGTTCTTTAACTTGTTTCAAGGAACAAATCAAATTATTAGCATCAAACTCCATGATAAAGACAGATTCTGGAGAATTTCTGAAGACAACTGCCTGCAGTTGTCCTGCAAGTATAAAATAATGATCTGGATAAGAATTTTTTACAGGAAAGGAAGCTTTGTACATGTGTGGAAAAAATTTAAAGAAACAACAGTGTTACAGTACCATTCTTAACACACGAAAAAGTCTTTTGGAAAACAATTTACGATCCCTGCGCACTCCTAAATTCTATTTGAAAAGTACTACCTGTCCATCTTTATCTCCATGGAAGACTTGGATTAACTGTCTAGGCCCAGGACAAAATTACCTTTGAAGGCAACAGTTGCATGAAGCCCAACAGCTGTAACACTATCTACCAAGTTAACCTCCTCTTAATTTTATGTGCTGTAACTTTACTTAAAGAGAAATAATCACCTGGAACATGAGAAGCAAATTATATTTTTAATATTAGAAGTACTAGCAACTAGCCTGTGTATTTCTTCAGAAGGAAATACCAATGCAGACAGTGAATTAAAACATGCCATGGTAACAGATGAAGACTTCAACTGTCAACAAAATCAGGCTATTAATTCTCACATAAACAATCTTTTTAGATCTTTGATTTTTAATATACAGTCCAAAGATCACTCTCACATTTCAGCAGCTTTTGTCTTTTAATGCCAATCATTTCAACTGACTTTTCTCACTACCCTGTGCTTTCTCTCCCCTTTGGAAAAGGTGAGTGAAAATATCAAATGATATCTTACTCTGCCAAGACCAAAAGAACAGTTCAAATGTTCAAAAAAATTAGGCAATGACTTTGCTTAAGGCAGGGAAGGAATGCGATTAGTGTGGGGTGGATCACTGCCGGGCAGAGAAGGGGAAAAAAAACAACCCAAACCTAAATCTCTTTTCATTCTTTGTTTCAGTCTATACTCAAGTCTACACCATGTAAACAGCAACTGAAAATTACTGGATGGAAAACACAGAATTATTTTGCTGCTTATCATGTTCTTTTCTTGAGTGACAGATACTGAGATTCAAGGGGAACCTGGGAATCTATTGGCCTGTTCGTTATCACTGACAGCAAAGATGCCCCGAATGATCCACTTGGACTAAACTATTACCTGCCACAGGATGCAGTCTCACAATGGATGGATCGAAATGTGTCTGGGAGAGCACCTCACGCTGCAGTTGGCCTCTATGCAGCTTACAACCTCTCACCACTCTGTAACTTGCTCACACAACAAGAA